CCGTCCATCCCCTCCTCGCCTCTGTCCACCCCCTCCTCGCCCCTCTCCACCCTCCCCGCCTCTCTCCACCCCTCCCCACCTCTGTCCACCCTCCCCATCTCCAATTAACCCCTCCCCACCTCTGTCCACCCCTCCCCACCTCATCTCTGAAGCCCCTTCTCTGTCCCCCTCCTTCTGTCCCCAGCCCCCTGGCCTTCATCTGCCCACGTCCCTGCATGCCCTCCGCTGTCTCCAGGGCACCGTGTGTGTCTTGTGCCCTGGGAGGCTGACCCCCGGGACTGCATCACAACCACAACTGGCCATTCTGGTTTCCAGTTGCTGTTCAGCTGTCACAAGGGTCCAGAAGGAAAGAGAGGCTCTGGTGAGGTCCTCCCTCAGACGTCTCCAGCTGCCCCGCCCCCCACACTCAGCCCCACGTCGGGAATCCTGGTGCCCAGTGGGGTGGGCCCACCACCCAGCCACGCATCAGATGGCCCTTTCCCAGGCTGCCGCACCTGTTCCGAGCTGGGCCCCGAAAGACCTGCCTGGGACCTAGCTCCTTTCCCTAGGCCTCATCCCTGCCTTCTGCTCAAGGAAATGGATGTGGAGGCCAGTGTCCCGACAGCAGAGGGCGGCCTCTCCCGGAAGGGAACGCCCAGTGGGTCTGGAGAATCCCATTCACTCGGTGCAGGACCCGGGACCGGGTCTGGGCTCCGGGCAGCACCTCCATCCCCTGCGTAGGGGGCACTCACCAAGGGCAGGCACTGAGCCAGGATCCCGCTCTGGGGGACGCAGCGGTGGCGGCTGACCTTGTTCAGCTTGATGCAGCACCTGCTCTGGCATTCCTCGTGGCTGGTGCAGTGGCTCCCGTTGCGCTGGGGACACAGGGCCTGAGTCTGGCTCCCGCCCCCCCCGCTCCCCCCCCCCCACCGCTCGGCTTCCAGCTCACCTTGCGCCAAGGCTCACACTGCAGGAAGATGGTCCTGGGTCTGCAGGTCATCTCCGAAACGGAGCTGTAGATGTTGGCGACACAGCAGCCGCTCTGGCAATCCGAGTGCTTGGAGCAGGCGTGGTTGTTCGGCTGCCGGAAGGGGACCTGGTTCTCTCAACTGCACACCTGCCCCCCAGCGCGCAGAAGAGACCCCGTTCTCTCCTCAGGCCCCCTGTCCCCCCCACACACACGGGAAAGGAAACCCTGCCTCCCCTCCGGCCCCCGGCCCCTCAGCGGGCAGCTCTGGGCAGTGGTGCCTCACCCCTGCGCCGGCCACCCCCCAGGACACCTTGTGCAGACCAGGCACTGCAGGAAGGGCTGGGTGTGCAGAGCTCCTGCAGCCCCAGGCTGCTGGGGTGCGGCAGTGGCCCTGGCACCCCAAGTGACCCTCACAGGCCCCGCCCATCCCGCAGACCCAGCGCCCAGTAAGGCTTCTCGATTGAGGAACGCCCTCCCCTTCTTTCGGCTTCCCTTCGAGGTTCCCGGAACGTTCCAGATCTGGCGGGGCTAATGGCAGGAAAGGGAGAGGAAGAGAACTAACGTGGTCTGTGTGTTGTGAGCTGCGCAGGTGGTGGGGGCTGGGGGGTAAACCAAGGCACAGAGGACAAGAGGAGGGGCAGCGGAGCAGGAAGGGAAGAGAGGCCACGGACTCCCTCGCGGCGTCTACAGGCCCGGTGGCGAGTGGGGGTCACAGGCCCAGGCAGGGCTGCGGCTGGGGTCGCACCCACGTGCCCGCCCCGCCCGCTGGAGGCCGCCTGCTCTTGAGGCCTTTGATGGAAGTTCTCAAGCTTCTGGTCACAACAGTCCTTCCCGGACTCGACACATTCCTGAGGCCCCAAAGCTGTTGGTAGCTGTGGGTCCCTCCTAATGACTTTTCCCACCGCGGGTACTAACTCAGAGCTTTACGCACGTACGTGTGAACTTATTTAAAACTAGGACCCCCATCCCATGTTAACAGAAAGAACAGCTTCTTAAGAAAAATAGGTATATTTTCCAAAGTAAAACAGAACGTGCTGAGGACAGAGTGGCGCCGCCGGGCACCTGGCTCCCCGGCCTGTGACTGTCATCCCCGGGGACCCTGCAGCCTGGGGGAGCCCTCCTGGGGGCCCAAGCGCCGGGTCCCTCCCTTTCCAGGGGGCGCAGACAGGGTGCAGGGGGGCAGGCACCTGCAGGGAGGGGCGGGAGCCCGGAGTGGGGGCGGGGAGGTACTCACCTTGTACAAATGCAACGCGGCCTTGGAGCCCCAGGCCAAGGATCCGGGCAGCAGGCAGAGCAGCAGCAGCAGACGCCCGGCGCCCGCCATTGCGCCCCGCGTGTCCGGGCCCCGTGGCACCTGTGTGGACGCCCGCTTCCTTCCTCCTTCCCAACCTTTCTCTTGCAAAATAGATTTTCTTTAATTAACAGACATTATTTTCTGGAGCAGTTTTAGGATTACAGAGAAATCGTGCGGAAAGTACAAAGAGGTCCCGTATAGCCCCTTTCCCACGCCTGCCTCCCTATTATTAACTCAGTGGATGCTGGACATTGGTTACCGCAGGTCAGCTGACACTGACACGTTATTACACCCGGTTCATTGCTCGTGCAGGACACCCGCAGCAGCACACAGTATTTTCACTGCCCCAACGCCCCCGGGCCCCGCCTGCTCAGCCTCGCCCGTGAAACCCGGCAACCACGGGTCTGTTCTGGTCTCGCAGTGGTCCTTTTCCCCGGTGTCCTGGAGCCAGAAACCATACAGGACGCAGCTTTCCCAGACTGGCTTCCTTCGCCCACGGACACCCATGTCAGAGGCCTCTATGTGTCTTCATGGCTTGATGGCAAATCTCTTTTTATCGCTGAGTGGAAAATGAATTGTCAACACCCCTCTCCCCAGGGAAGGATCGTGCCCTCTCTGAGTTGAACAGGGGCCTCTCTGCTTGACGTCAGAGAGCGCCCACGGGCCGTGTGACCCTCCCTCCTGTGAGTCCAGCTCCTGTCTCCCTGGAGAGGGGCGCGCACGGCAGCCCCAGGCACAGGTGCGTCTCCCACCCTCATCAGGGAGGGTCCCCGGGAGTCCCAAGTCAGCCTCAGACCCAAGCCTGAGCTGCCCCTGGCCCCTGCTCCTCTCATCCTCTGGGCCATTTGGCTCATTGCCTACCTATATATAAAGCTGATGGTTTGGCCTCAAATTTTTCCCCAGTTCTTTTATCTTTTAAAAAAATTTTATTTATTTTGAGAGAGTCGGTGGGGGGGGGGGGGCGGTAGAGAGAGAGAGAATCCCAAACAGCTTCTGCTTCATCAGCACAGAACCTGTTGCGGAGCTTGAACCCATGAACCACGAGATCATAACCTGAGCAGAAATCAAGAGTCAGATGCTCAAGGGGCGCCTGGGTGGCTCAGTCGGTTAAGCGTCCGACTTTCGCTTAGGTCATGATCTCGCGGTTCGTGGGTTCGAGCCCCGCGTCAGGCTCTGTGCTGACTGCCAGCTCAGAGCCTGGAGCCTGTTTCGGTGTCTGTGTCTCCCTCTCTCTCTGACCCTCCCCTGCTCACGCTGTCTCTCTCTCTCTCTCTCCTAGAAATAAATAAAACATTAAAAAAAAAGAGTCAGATGCTTAACTGACAGAGCCACCCAGAAGCCTCTCTTTTATCTTTTACATTGAAGTGATGGAGCACCTGGGTGGTTCAGTTGAGAATCCAACACTTTTCTCTCTCTCCCGCCACCCCCCAGAGAGAGCAGGTAGGGAGAGAGGGAGAGAGAGAATCCCAGGCAGCCTCCACACCATTTGCACAGAGTCCGACAGGGGTCTTGAACTCATGAACCTCAAGATCAGGACCTGAGCTGCAGGATCTGAGCCGAAGCTGGACGCTTAGCCAACTGAGCTGCTCAGGTGCCCCCATAACCATTTTTAAAGTAAACAATTCAGGGGCATTTAGTTCTTAACAGTGTGCAACCACCACCTCTATCTAGTTCCAGAACATTCCATCATCCCACAGCACAAGCTGGAGTCCTATTCTAGAACCCTCCTCTGGTCTGTCTTCCCTTCCCCGTGGCCGCGCTCCCCTCAGGACTGCCAGCTCCCAGCCCAGGGCCCACGAGCCTCACACTCAGACCCGCCTGCGGTTTCCGTCCTGAGCGCCGCAGGCCCTTGGGGGGCGGCCGAGCCTTCCTGGGATCTTGCCGCGCCGTCTGTGAGGTCAGCGGTGGCCTCCCGCGCTCCCGCTCGTGTCCCCTGAACCTCTGGTTACCAGATGATTCCAGTGGAGACATGCTCATCTTGCCCTTTGTTCTTTACTGGGGTCACTTGCCCTGCAAATCACAGCACATATCACCTGAGTTTTGGGTTTTCTGTATTTTTATACTTAAATTTATCTGCAATAAATTTAAGAGAGCCTGTAAGTCACAAAAGCATTGCTAGACCATTTTGTTCCAAAGTTTGGCCAATTGGTTTCAAAGGGAGCCACTAGCCTGAACTCGGAGGCCTCTTCTGACCTGTAGCCGCGGAAGAATGACAGAGGCACGGAGGAGGAGAGCTGCGGGGCACAACAGGGCTGGGCCCTTTCACGCGGTGCCTTTAGAAGCGCTTCCAAGGCCGTTTCGGCGAGTGTGTGCTAACGGTGTTTTCCCCTCAAAAGCAGCAGCTGGCAGTCAGGACACACCTGTGCTGCGTGTGGTCCCGGCTGCTATGTGCGAGAGTGTGGGCTCCCTGCACGCTGCCCGGCACAGTGGGTGCGGAGCACGAGCAAGGTCTCCTGGCGCGGCCTCTGCGGGTTCTGGGGGCTCCTGAGGCCGCCCACCTGGCGGCCCCCGCCAGCACCTCCCGGACCCCCAGGCCGCGGAGTTCCCTGAACTTTCAGAAACATTCAGAAACAGCTCTCATGAGGTTGCCAAGTATCTGCATGATGCAACCCAAGACCCACGTTTGGTGAACATACAAACAGACAGTGGCCAGACCGTCATTGAAAGTGGGACTCGGCCCCCAGGCCACAGCAGCCAATCTGGAAGCCAAGTGCACTCTCCCGGCTGGCTTTCGGGCACCAGCACTGGGCCAGCGGCTGCAGCGTCCCCAACTCAGGACCAGCCTGGCCAAATATGCCCCGTAAGCAATCATGTGGGCCATCCGTACCCGTGCGCCGCGGCTGCATGACAAACATCACGAGCGGGGGAGGTTAAACCGCAGACATTTGTGCCTCGCAGCCCTGGAGGCTGGCGGTCCAGATCCGAGTGTGGGAGGGGCTGTCCCTTCTGGGGCCCCTTGCCTGGGGTGTGGACACACCTCCCTGTGTCGTGCTTACTTGCTGGGCTGCGTCCCACCCTGTTGACCGCTGGCCCTCTGTTCTCCTCATTCATAAGCTCCATGAGCCAGCACTCAAGAGATGGCGGAAGGGCTGTGGGAACTCTTTTTTTAATATATAAAGATTTCTTTTTGAGAGACAGAGACAGAGAGTGGAAGCAGGGTAAGGGCAGAGGGAGAGAAGGGCAGAGAATCTGAAGCTCCAGGCTCTGTGCTGACAGCAGAGAGCCTGACACGGGGCTCGAACTCACGAACCACAAGATCATGACCCGAGCCAAAGTCAGACGCTCAACCGACTGTGCTGGAGGCTGAGCCAGCAGGTCCTAGGGCCCCTGAAGGATGGACGGTGTCGGTGAGAGAGAGAGTGAGAGGCCCCGAGATTCTTTCTGATCACCAGGCAGCGTCTCCGTCCTGGCGGTTTTGGTGTCTTTATTTAAAGGTTCAGCAACAACATGAACTCAGAGAAAGGAATTTCTACAATGGGAGGCCTTTTGCCATAACAAGTTTTTGATGTTCTGCAGAATTATCCCAGTCATAGTGAATTTACAACCAAGGAATTAACAGGATGCTCTTAGTGAAAAACAGGACAACATGCAGCTTAAATTGTATATAGATCAGCTAGGAGTCATTCTGTCTGGCTCTCAAGAGGATGAATGTTTCTTTTTTTTCTTTTTTAATGTTTTACTTATTTCTAGGAGAGAGAGAGAGACAGCATGAGCAGGGGAGTGTTATAGAGAGAGTGTGATTCATATTCTGAAACAGGCTCCAGGCTCTGAGCTGGCAGTCAGCACAGAGCCCGACTCGGGGCTCGAACCCACGAACCGCGAGATCATGACCCAAGCGAAAGTCGGACGCTTAACCGACTAAGCCACCCAGGCGCCCCGAGGATGAATGTTTCTGAATTGGTTTATTTGTGGAAACTAACATGGGGGCCCTAAATGTGTCAGTCTTTGCACCTGGGTTTATGTTTTAGCTGCTCTTATCTGTCCTCATCCCAGCTGCCAGTGGAAGGGAGGGTGTTTGTGGGATGCAGGCCTTGAGGAAGGGATGGCCAGGTTTCACCAATTAGCACAGATGTATGTAGTAACTGTGCTCTGCCCTGGACCCCAAAATAGGCTCTTGGTCTCAGGGCCAGGCTCAGTGGTAAGTCTTGTGTTCTTAACCCCCTTTATTATCTAAGTCTTAGGTCTGCAAGGCCCATAGGAAGAGCCTTTTGACAATCTCCCATAGAGCTTTCGTCTAAAGTCTCTTTTGTAAAGGCAGGAATATGCTTTTCCTTATGAGGTATCTGTGTTCAGAATATGGGTCTGATATGGAATATTGTGAGGCCTGGTCAACACCAGCAGGCTTATCCCCAACATGAGCCAGTAGTAGCAGAAGGAGATCCCAGTTTTCATTTCTCACGGCGGGAGCTGCAAACACTGCCATTTCCTTGCTGTGACTGCCACCCAGAGAGGCCGGCGCGGGTCCCGGCACGACTGAGCCACCCAGGCGCCCCTGTGGGAACACTTTCTGTCCCCTCACTCACCGCAGGTCAAGGCTCTCAGATGCCCCTAAGCACACATTCCAGAGAAATGACACTAGACAATGGAGTCGGATAAACAATCTCAAAGATAAATGGGCCAACTCATAGCCATTGGATCAATCTTGAAAGCCTTGCTTCCATATCATATCAAATGTAAAGAATGTGATTAATATAACCATATAAAAGCTAAATTTAAATCACAACTTGAATATTTAAGAATTTCAAACTTGCCATGTGTTTTTGTACTTTGAACAGGGGGGAAAAAACCTTTATGGTCCCGGATTTCTCATGGGCCCTTGAAAAGTTCAGTCTTATAAACTGGGCCTGATGTGCCCGATCAGTCAAACAGACATGCCACGGGAACCCACTGTCCACATGGAGCAGCCCACCCCGCCCACAGCAGCAGCACGGCCAGCAGCCAAGAGGTGGGCACAGCCCTGGTGTTCAGGGTGAAGGATAAACAAAATGTAGTCCATCCATACAATGAAATGTGATTCATCTTAAAAAGGAAGGAAATTCTGACACGTGTTACAACCTGGACATGATGCTGAGTGAAATAGTCCAGTCCCAGAACGGCAGACATGCAGGATCCCACTCCCAGGCAGGCCTTAGAGCAGACAGAGTCGTAGCAACAGAGGGCAGATGGCGGGCGCCGGGGCTGGGCCGCAGCCGGTGTGGAGTGTGGCAGAGCACCAGTCCCGGAGGATGAGAAAGTGCTAGGGGTGGACGGTGGCCCCGGTAGGCAGTGTGTGGGTACCCGGTGCCCCTGAACTACACCCATTGCGGTGGTTATGATGGGAAATTTTTATGCGTATCTTACCACGGTAAATCAGAGGCCACAGGTGCTGCTTAGAGGCCCTGGAGGCATAGCTGTTCCTGAACTTGAAGAACAGGGCATTCACTGCCCCCGTTTATTTTTAAATATTCTTTTAAATATATGCAGTCTCTTTTCTTGGGTATTTGTTTATAAATCTCTCAGAGCAGACATCTTTCCACAGTTTTTCCTTCCAAACCTCAACTCCAAAACATGATTCCATAGTATCTCACTCTGGCAAATAAAAGCTTGATGTCAGGGCACCTGGGTGGCTCAGTCAGTTAAGCGTCTGACTTCAGTTCAGGTCATGATCTCACGGTTTGCGAGTTTGAGCCCCAAGTTGGGCTCTGTGCTGACAGCTCAGAGGCTGGAGCCTTCTTTGGATTCTGTGTCTCCCTCTCTCTCTGCCCCTCCACCTCCCTCATGCGCACTCTCTTTCTCAAAAATAAATAAACATAAAAAAAAAAAGCTTGACACCAAACCTTGCCAAAACTTACAGATACCAAAAAATTATTCCCTGAACTGTGATTCCCATATTCGAGCACGAACCCCTCACACTGGGCCTTACCTGCCCTGCCTCTTCCCCCGTCTCCAAGGAAAGGCGGCGTGGCCCGGCCCGCACGGCGGCCTGCTGCAGCAGCCTCCACACACACACACGCGGGGAAGCCGACCACGCGGGCGCACGCGCCAGGCTGGACAGTGCTTGCAGAAAACCCCTGGCTGCTGATAATTGCTCAAGGGTCCAGTGGTCCTACCTTTTTATCGTGGGCCCCACCTGCCCCTCTGTAAGCGAGACCGGACAAGCCGTGACTCCAGAACAGACCCCAGACCCCGGGAGAATCCGCAGGACCAAGGCCAAGGAAGTCCCAGGCAAAGTGCCGCAGACTCAGAGGCGCGAGGCCCGCTCTCCTCTCTTACCTCCTTCCTGGCCCCACCTTGCAGCTGACCAGAGCCTCCGCACTGGGCAGGAAGGACTGCATGGAGCAGACGTGGCTGGGCCACGCAGGAGCCCAGGAAGCCGACCACAGCCGCTGCCGCCCAACCGGGCCGGACAGCCAGCGCTGGGTCACCGACTGTGGCTTCCTGAGGCTTTCCCCTCTTCCGACTCAGGACCAGTCACATATGCCCCTAACCCATCTAGTGCGATGCGCCCGCTCCCCCCACCAACGGGTCCCTGGGGGCACCTGCACCAGGCTGGCCCCCACCAGCATCCCCGCCCTCCGCTGTGGGCCAGCGGATCAGAGCCAGGGGTGGACTCCCAGCTCGGGATCGATGGCCCGGAGTTCCCACTGCGGGTGGCCTTCATTTCTCTCTGCTGACATTGTTCATTCGGTAAACGTGTACTTACTGTTGACTACGGGCCAGGCTCTGCCCAGGGAAAGGTGGCGTGTGCCCGTCCCCCACCCCCTACGACTGCTTGGTCTAGTTTGGGAAATGGTCGTGGCAACAGAGATTGGGTAGAAGGAGGTAGATGGATTAAGACCGAGGCGGGGGGGGGGGGGGGGGGGGGGGGGGGGGGGGGGGGGCGGGGCTACGGCCCGAAGGAGGGGCAGGTGCCGGGCCAGGAACCCAGAGCGACCCGGTCCGTGGTGACTGGGGTGTCGCAGGGTCCGCGTCCACGCAGCGTTAACAACGCCCCCCAGAACTCCGAGGCCTGAAAGAGCAGCTTGCCGCCATCATCCCCCGGGCCCTGGGGGCTGGCCGGGCGCACCAGGGTCCCCGCAGGGTCCGGGCGGCTCGGCGATGCGGCCGGGCATCTGGCCAAGAGGGCCCGGGGTCCTCCAAGGGCGGCTGGGGTCGCGGGGAGCAGCATGGGGGCTCGGAATGGGTCTCGGATTTCTTCTAGGAGCGGTGAGTGTTCTCAATTAGATTGTGATGTTTGTACAACCCCATAAATATACTAAAAACAATGGATTCTATGCTCCAAGTGGGTAAATTGTATGGCATGTGAATTTTATCTCAATAAAGCTGTTTAGAAAAGGAAATCTAATTTTACTTTTATTTGGGACTTTTAGTTGTAACTTGGCTGTTTTTACATTGTTATGTATAGATATTTTTACTCCATACTTGCCGTAGGGTAATATTTCCTGTTAACCAAACATTTTGGAATTCAGTTGAATAACCTTTTTCACTTGTAAAATGCCTTTTTAAGTAAAAAAAAAAATATTATCAGACTCAGTCCTCCTAAGACTAATTTCTTTAACCTATTTGAAAGTATTATCCAAATTATAAATTTGAGAATTTTTTAATTTTTTTGTTTGTTTTTTGTTTTGTTTTGTTTTTTGACAGAGAGAGAGAGAGAGACAGAGCATGAGCAGGGGAGGGGCAGAGAGAGGGAGACACAGAATCTGAAGCAGCTCCAGGCTCTGAGCTGTCAGCACAGAGCCCGATGTGGAGCTGAAACTCACACTGAGAGATCATAACCTCAGCCAAAATCAGACACTCAACCGACTGAACCACCCAGGTGCCCACCCACCCCCTTTCTAAAGTAAGTTCTGTGCCCAGTGTGGGGCTTGAACTCACAACTTCAGGATCAAGAGTCACATGTTCTACTGACTGAGCAAGCCAGGCACTCCCATTTGGTTTCTTAATTTTTCTGTCCAGTAGGCTTCCAGACACCTTGTATAAACTTCACAGTAAGTGTTTGGAGTCTCCCGAAACCAATCAAACATAGACTCTGCACTAAATGTGAGAGACTATGTGTCTTCTAGTAACTGGAACCTTCCCAGGGGCCCTCGAGCTCTCCTTGCAGCTTGACACATATTCCTAACGACACAGGCCAGAAATCTCATCTCAAGAAATCAATAAATTCTGGGACAAACTTGAGACTCTATAGCATACCTTTTCTTCCGAGAAAACGTAAGGAAAACACACTGCACACGTTCAGGGGACGGAATGCCTGCCCGTGGCTACCAGCTTGGAGCTCCGCCTGCGAGGAAGCAGAAAGAGGCAGATGCAGATGCTCTGTCTCTCTTCATCCCTGCAATTCAGGTATCTCACCCTCCCTGCCCAGGCACCTTTTTAAAAAATCATCCTGGGGTGCCTGGGTGGTTCAGTTGGTTAAGCGTCCGACTTCGGCTCAGGTCATGATCTCATGATTTGTGACTTCAAGCCCCGCATCGGGCTCTGTGCTGACAGCACAGAGCCTGGAGCCTGTTTCAGATTCTGTGTCTCCCTCTCTGTCTCTGCCCCTCCCCCGGTCATGTTCTGTCTCTCTCATGAAAATGAATAAACATTAAAAAAAAAAAATCATCCTGCCTGGGACCCAACAAGTCATACCCACATGCAGATACAAGTCTTTGCTCAAATCAGATAATTTTCTTCAACTATTCATCACTTCCTGTCTTTTCTTCCTCCAACCCTGTGCCCTAGGCTTCCAAGCATCCTGTACACACAACTGTCTTGCTCTGGCCCCACCTCTGCGCTCTGCTCTGAGCCCAGGCGTTCCTGCCATGGGAGCTCCTGGGTGAGCTGTTCTCTGCCAGCTCACCTACCTGAATCACGATTGGGCCCAGATTTTTTCATACTCTAACCTCACCTCATTGCAAGTTTTCATCGCCTCTGGCTGAAGCTCCCTTTGGCCCTTCTGTTACCCGGTCAGTGTGCCAGATGTTGAGTAAGGATGTGTGCTCCTCTTGGTTGTTGGGGTCAGACTGGTCACTGCATCAGATACATGCGGTGACCAGACCCTGGCCAGTGGAAAGCCATGTACCCTGTGTTCCTGTAACCATGGTAGACAGACTAACCAGCCACTCCCTCCAGGGCCCTCTCTGCTAACACCAGCACACGCAGGCCCAGGGGCAGGGTCTCTGTCACCCCCAGGCTACAGGCGACAGGGAGCCATGGCCCCTCCCAGCACAGCACCCGGGCAGCAAGAGGATCCCATAGCCCTGACCCCCAGCTCCCTTCGCCCAGCCCCTGGCACCACTAATCTGCTTTCTCCCTATAGAGCTGCCTGTTTGGGACATTTCATATAAATGGAGGGTACAACAGGTCGTCTTTGGAGACTAGCTTCTTTCACTCGGCACGGTATTTCCTAGGCTTGCCCATGTTGTAACATATGGCACATATAAGGTACTTCATTCCATGTATTGCAGGAGTATATTCCATTGTATGGATATACCACATATGATTTATTCATTCATCAGCTGATAGACATTTGGGCTGTTTCCAATCTCAGCCATTACGAATAATGCAATGAACATTTATGTGCAGGTTTCCGTGTGGACACATGTTTTCATTTCACCTTTAGGTGGAATAGTTGGATCGTGTGATAACTCAAGGCTCAACTTTTGACATACTGCCACAGAGTTTTCCAAAGTGGCTGCACCATTTTTATAGTCCCAGCAGATGTGAGAAGGATCCGGTTTTCCTGTATCCTTGCCAACCTCTGTCATAGCTTTCCTAGGGGTAGGATTTGCATTTCCCTCCTGGCTAATGATGTTGTCTTCTTTCATGTACTAATAGCCATTTGTACATTTTCTCTGGAAAAATTTCTATTCAGATACTTGGTCCATTCTTTAAATTGGCTATTTGTCATACTGTTACGACTTGCAAGAGTCTTTTTAGATACAACCCCCTTATCACATATGTGACTTGCAAATATTTTTTCCCATTCTATGGGGTATCTTTTCACTTTCTTGACGGTGTCCTTTGAAGCACAGACGTTTTTAATTTTGTTGAAGTCCAATTTATCTTTTTTTTTTTTTGCTTATATTTTTGTCATTTGTAAGAATCCATTGCCAAATCTAACTCCACAAATGCTTGTTCTCATGTTTTCTTCCAAGAGTTTTATGGTTTTAGTTCTTACATTTAGGTACTTGATGCATTTTGAGTTAGTTTTTGTATATGATGTGAGGAGGGGGTCTGTCTAACTTCATTCTCGTGCATGTGGAAGTGGATAAAAGCACAGTTAGGAGCCTTAGCCACAGTCCAGGAGAGACGCGAGGGCTGGGCGATTGGGTGGAGGAGGCGCAAGAACTGACGGCTCAGAGCGCACCTGTAGCTCAAGCAAAGGGCCTGCTGGGGCGAAGAAGAGGATTCAGATTTGTGTGACCCTGGCGGGGGTCGGGGCGGGGCTGTGGGGGCAGGGGGTCTCCAGGGGGCAGCGGCGGAGAATCCAGGGGCGCCCTTTGGAAAACTCCTCCTGGACACGTAATCCCCCACAGTGTTCTAAGCCAGGGCACTGGACACAGGGGCAGCCCCCCGGGTTTAGTGCGCACGGTCATGAGGCGCCAGGAGGCCCGGGGAGCCTCGCAGGGTCTCCCTCCCGCATCTCAACAACGTCCCCGCGGCTCCGTGTCCTCCCCGGGGACGTGCGGGCCTCCGCGCGCGGGTGGGGCGAAGGCTGCCGCCCGCGCTCTGCCCGCCCCGTGCCCACCTGGAGACACCTGTCAGGTGCGCCGCGCGCTCCCCCGGCCGCAGGCTGGCGGGGGCGCGGGGCGGGGGCGCGGGGCGGGGCGGGGCGGGCGAGGCCACGCCCCGGGGCGGTGCCGCGGGGCTTCCCTGCCGGCGCCCCGCGCCCCGAGCCCGAAGGGTGCGCCCGCGTCGCGCCCCGGGCGGAGCTGCGGGCCATGGCGGCCGCAGAGCCCAAGCCCCGCGCGGGGGCGGCCGCGGCCCGGCGCCTGGCCCGGGGCTGCTGGTCCGCGTTCTGGGACTACGAGACGCCCAAGGTGATCGTGGTGAAGAACCGGCGCCTGGGCGTCGTGTACCGCGCGGTGCAGCTGTTCATCCTGCTCTACTTCGTGTGGTGGGTGCGGTGCGCCGGGGGCGCAGGGCCTGGGGACCCCGGGAGGCGGCGACCGGCGGGGGAGGGCCCCGGGTCGCCTCCAGCGCGGCCCTGCCGGTCCCGCAGGTACGTGTTCATCGTGCAGAAGAGCTACCAGGACAGCGAGACGGGCCCCGAGAGCTCCGTCATTACCAAAGTTAAGGGCATCACCTACTCCGAGCGCAAAGTGTGGGACGTGGAGGAGTACGTGAAGCCCCCCGAGGTGCGCCTGCCCGCCCCGCCCGCGGCGCGCACCCCGGGACAGGACCGACCATCCCCTTTCCGAGCCTCGGCCGACCATCCCCTCTTTCTGAGCCCAGGGAGGCAGCGTGTTCAGCATCATCACCAGGACTGAGGTCACACCCTCGCAGACCCTCGGAACCTGCCCGGAGGTGAGGCCTGGTGGGACGCAGGGCTGGGGCAGAGGGACAGGGCCCCCCGCCTGATCGTCTTGCCCCAGAGGCGCGGGCTCCTGACGCAGCCGGCTCCTCCCTAGAGCATGAGGGTTAGCAACGCCTCCTGTGACACAGATGAGGACTGCGTGGCAGGGCAGCTGGACATGCTGGGAAACGGTCAGTGCCCACCAGCTCGGGGTGGGGTAAGGTGGGGGGCACGCCCCTCGCCCCTGAGCGCCGTCTGTCTGCCCGCAGGCCTGAGGACCGGGCGCTGCGTACCCTACTACCAAGGGTCCGCCAAGACCTGTGAGGTGTCGGGCTGGTGCCCGGTGGAAGATGGGGCCTCTGTCAGGTGCGCACGCCCGGTGACCCCACCTGCCCGGGACGCAGCTGGCACCCCAGCACGACGCTGTTTTGCTCCTTTGTCTCCTCACTGGCCAGAGCTGCGATGTGCTGGGGAGGGGCCTAGGGAGGGGGGGCCTAGGGAGGGGGGAGACTAAACACACCCAGTCTGTGCCTCCTCAGCCAATTTCTCGGCAAGATGGCTCCGAATTTCACCATCCTCATCAAGAACAGCATCCACTACCCTAAATTCCAGTTCTCCAAGTAAGAGCCACCAAGGTGTAGTGACAGTGGGTAGGGATGGGGGCTACCTCCTGGGAACGTGGTGTTTGTGGGTACAGAGCTTCTGCCCCCTCCCCACGTGACGCGCCTGGGTCCCGTCCTCAGAGGCAACATTGAGCACCGGAAGGACGGCTACCTGAAACGCTGCACATTCGATGAGGCCTCCGACCTCTACTGTCCCATTTTCAAGCTGGGCTTCATTGTGGAACGGGCAGGGGAAAACTTCACGGAGCTGGCACACACGGTGAGGCGGGCAGCCGAGGGAGAGCGGGCCAGCTCTCCTCCGGTGCTGGCTCCTAGCGGCGAGTGGCGGGTCTCCATTACAGCCAGCCCCCTTTGCAGTCTTGGCCAACCCTGGCCCTGTTCGGGCAGAGGAAAGAGAAACACAATCGGCCAACCGGTCTGGGCATGCATGCGTCCTGCTAAATTATTGACTCCTGGTCACACGGCTGGCCGCTAGCATACCCTCACGCTTCAGAAGCGGGTGCTCGCCAGGCACCCCTGACTCTCGGCCCTGAGCTGCCCCAGGTGCCCCAAGATGAGCGCCCCACAGTCTCAGGGCAGGCCCCGTTGCTCTTGAGGGTCCTCTGTGAGGCCTCCCTGACACCCACCCCTGTGCCCACTTCTGGGCAGGGTGGTGTCATCGGGGTCATTATCAACTGGGACTGTGACCTGGACCTGTCGGCATCAAAGTGCAACCCCAAGTACTCCTTCCGGAGGCTTGACCCCAAGCACGTCCCAGCCTCGTCTGGCTACAACTTCAGGTACCTTGGCCTTGGGATGCCTGGGTCCTCGTCTGCCCGGGTTGTAGTGGCTCTAAAATAACAGGGCAGGTGCTTCAAGGTCCAGATCAGGGGTCACTGGAGTCTTGGAGCTTCTCGTCTTGGGTGATGGGTGGGTGCCCACCGCCATGCTCTTCAGGGTCATGCTGTCCCAGGTTTGCCAAGTATTACAAGGTAAACGGCAGTGCCACCCGCACACTCATCAAGGCCTATGGGATCCGCATCGACGTCATTGTGCATGGACAGGTAGGCCCGCCTGCTTTGCCCGCCAAGGACCCGGACAGGCCCGGGGCCGAGCCAGCGTGGTTCCGTCTCCCCACCCCCCCTTGAGCCTCACCTGCCCCAGACCCAACAGCCATCTAAGGCAGCCTCCTCTCCCAAGGCAGGGAAGTTCAGCCTGATTCCCACCATCATTAATCTGGCCACAGCACTGACCTCCATCGGGGTGGTAAGGAAATGCGTGCTGGGGCGGGGGGCGGGGGCGGGGGCTCCCGGGCCCTCACCTGCTGGTCTTGCTGGCCCAGGGCTCTTTCCTGTGTGACTGGATCTTGCTGACGTTCATGAACAAAACCAAGGTGTACAGCCATAAGAAATTCGACAAGGTGTGCACGCCCAGGCACTCCTCCGGTAGCTGGCCTGTGCCCCTGGCTCTTGTTTTGGGCCAGGCCCCTCCCCCGCCCCACCCCTGCTCTGCAGACCCAAGCCCATCCCCGGCCGCCCCGCCCCCATGGCCTCGCCCTGCCTCTGCCCCTTCTGAGCAGATGGCGGATACTCCCCAGCAGAATGAGGGACCAGAGCTGTGCGCCTGCGAGCCTTCCCGGCAGGACTCCACACTCACAGACCCCCGAGGTTTGGCCCAGCTCTGAGCCTACCACATGCCTTCCGCCACGCAGTGTCCAAGGCCGGGCCTGGTGGGGTCCTGAAGTCTGGGCCCGGCCCACTCCCCTCAACACGGTCTGTGAGAAACTGGGAACAAAAAGACCCCCGTGCAACCGGGCGGTGGGTGACACCAAGTGGGTGGCATCAGATCCTGGCTGCCCCCCCACCCCGACTCTGCCCGGGCTGGAGGGAGGGATAAACTGCCTCCTCCCCCTCACCCCTCGCTGTCTTTCTCACAGGCTTCTCACCCCTCCCAACCCAGGCGCTTTGCTTGCTTCATAGCTAGAAGTCACGTACCCAGAGTCCAATAAACCTGTGCCCAGAACCTCTGGCCTCATTTTTGGGGAAAAGCATCTGGAGGTCCTGAAGACAAACAGGCAGGAGAGGGTCCTTGTGCATGGGGCTATGAGTGCCCTTGGTCTGGTCTGTCCTTTAACCAGCCTGGGTGGGTGCAGACCGCATGCTGTGTCTGAGCAGAGGGGCAGGGGGACAGGCAGGGACTGGGTGCACGAGGAACCCAGCGCTGCCCTTCAGTTAGCTTGCTTACCAGCCTCCTGGGGTGGGGAGGTGGGGGGTCATCCCAGACCCACCCTCAAAATATGTGAAAGGATGGGGGCTCTGGAAGAAAGCCAAGGGGTAGGTGAGGAAACAAGAAAAAGGGACCCAAGGGGGCAGGAAGTTGGTGCCGGGGGAGGGGGTGGACGAGGTTGAGGGGGAGCACAGGCCAGCAGCTAATCGGTTGCCACACCCTTGGATGCCATAACGGCCATTATATTCAGTGGCCTTGCCTGGTGCCTGTCTGGCCAGGGTCCCCCTCCCCCAGGGGCCGCCGGAACTCGGCTGGATGGTGGTTCCCCTGGCAACATGGATGGTGAGCGCCCAGATCTGTGGCAGCACATGCTGTGTTTGCACAGACCACCTCAGCCAGGATCCCACCACTTCTAAGGTTAAGTGATGGGTCAGGGGGTCCTCACGTCCAAATGATGCTGGCAGGTGGCCAGAGCTGGCCTTCCCACCTGCCCACACCCAACGGGGCCAGCAACAGCACACAGCGGAGAAGCCCCCGGCCAGCTACCTCTACAGACCCTCCCATCCGTGAGGTGAGGAGTCCTGTGGCCCAGATGCCTGCGATACTGTATCTGGCTCCCTGATGTCCAGCTTTGGAGAAACTGGCTTTTCCAGTTGGGCCTGGGCTGCCACTCAAGAACCGGGGCCAGGGGTTCAGGTTTCCCATTCCTGAGCACGAGCGGGACCCCAGGGCCCTCCACTGTCCCAGATGCCCCAGTCCCTAAGCTGGCCTCTGAGTGACCCCCCCCTGCAGCCCTGGCCCTGCTGCAAGGACAAGGCATGGTGTGCAGGCCCCCAGCCCCTCCCCTTCTCCCCTCCGGGACATCTCTGCTCCGCTTCCAGGAAGCCCAGTTAGCCCCCCTCCCCCCGAGCCCTAATTTGATTTGATCTCCATCTGGGGGTGACGCAGGCTCTGTCCACCTTCCAGCCAGTGTCCGGTTTCTCGTGGCCTGGACACACCCGGAGCACAGTACCCAGGGGCCAACGCACCCAGCTGTGACAGATGGCAGTCTCCCTTCCATCCTTGTAGGGACTAAGACACCTCGCACACACAAACACACACACAATTTTAAGGAATGTAAAAACAAAAGTTAAAGTGTCATGCTAGGGGATGCTCGGAGAAGTCAGGCGGCAGTGACGAACTCAAGCCGGGCTCCAGGGCTGACAGTGGCCTGCGGCTTCCACATGCTTCCCTTGAGGCTGCCCATTTGGGGTCTGAGTTTAGGATTCAGTTAGTCTGCTTGTTGCCTTGCCAACCTGGCCATTCTTCTTTTCCTGCTTCCAGTCTCATTTAGTTAGAAATGAAGTGTGGGGCGCCTGGGTGGCTCAGTCGGTGGTACATCTGACTCGACTCTGGCTCAGGTCCTGATTCCAGGGTTGTGGGATCAAGTCCCCAGGTCAGGGAGAAGCACGGGGCCCGCTTAAGAGTCTCTTTCATCCTCTGCCCCCTCCCCCTCTCACGCTTACTCTCTAAAATAAAAAAATAAAATCTAACTACTAAAATGAAGTGTGGACTTAGTCTTTTGTCCTGGGGCAGAGGAAAGAAAGGAGGGAACAGCTCAGCAAAGTCTTCCCGAGGTCACTGGGCCTCCCACTTTCCCAGCCCCACCGCAGGGTCAGCGCGGAGTGGGGCCCCACATCTCTGTGCCGCACTGGCTGTCTGAAGAAACTGGTGGCAAGTGTCCAGGTTTAGAGAGGCCAGGGCCCTGACTGACCGTCTCTGCAGGGGAGGGCAGCTGACCTGGGCTTGCGTGTCCCCCTTGGCCACTGGAGGACAGGCAGGCCCGCAAGGGACGGAGGTCACAGACGCTACAGCCAAGAAGCCAGAACACAACCACTTCAAGCCCAACACGATTGCTGCTGCCGTTTTACTCCTGTCTCCCCTCCCCTGCCCTGAAGCTGAAGGGGAAAACCTAGTCTTGCACGTGAAGAAGCATTTCCCTGAGAACCCAAGTGCTGACAGAGGACATTAAAGTCTGTGATAAATGCGTGCATCTTCCCTCCTGTGAGTGGCAGTCTGAGCCCAGCGCTCGTTGTCTGCCCCCACCCCCACCCACAGCAGGGGCAGGGTCAGAGGGAAGGGTGCCACACCCCGGATTCCAGGTCTCGCTGCTGCAGACAAAGTGACCGCTGTGATCGGGCTCCTCCCCTGCAGACCCTACACTGACTGGGAAGTCTCCAGACAAGAAGGCCAAGTCCTGGGAACTCGCTGTGTGAAAGACACCCAGGTCCCCTCAGCGTTTGGCTCTGAGTCCCGGGAACAGGCCCACACCCTCCTGCTGGCATCCAGCCATGGCACATGCTTCTCTGCCTCCGTGCTCACAAGTGATAAACAGGGGCTGCAAAGCCCACCAGTCCTCACCAGACAGAAGATCCCCTGAACAGCAGAGGAGAGTGAAAGCAGGGCCGCAGGGAGGGCGGTCTACATAGCAGGAACCACCCTGGTGACCCTTCTTGGGCCAACCGTGGGCAGGCGGCCCTGACCACAGCTGGGGGCCCAGGGAAGCCCCGAGTGGAGCCACTTCCCGCTCGCAGAAGCTCCCTGATACTCGTTTTCCTCGGTGCTCCGTCCTGGATATGATCACAAGCCTGGGAAGTGAGGGCAGAGAATGGGGATGGTTGGCTTGCTAATGGCCCAGCTGAGGGCTCTTCTGCAGCAGCCACTCCAGGGTCTCCATGAGGTATGACATGCCATAGTGCTGGGCAATGTTCTGGAAGATTCTAATCTGGTCCATGAAGACCTGCAGAAATGATCAGTCACAGTGAGACCTGGTTCCAGAGGGATGCAAGGTGGAGGCTCAGGTGTATAGGGAGAGAAGAGGATGGCAAAGACCACAGGGGGGCAGCCAGCTGGTCCAGCTGTGGGACCCCCACCTTGGTGCGGATGGTGAGGGCAAAGTCCCCGGCACAGCCACAGTACACAGGCATGTTGGTCTCCTTCACACCCCGGCACTTGAGGCAGATCTGCAATGAGGAGCAGCCCTGGTCACCAGTGTCCCCTCCTGCGCCAGCCATGGCCAGCGGGAGCCAAGAGCTCGGCCTGTCCACCCTCCCCCCGCCCCCCATGGCCTTCAGCTCAACCGTGAAATTCAGTACTTTGTAACAGGATTTATCCAAACATGCCAGTTGCTTCCTAACACCCTTACTGTGGGCACCGCACCCTTGCCTCTGAGCCCCAGAGGCCCTCACCCCTGGGCCTTCCTTGGGTCTCCCTATTCTATCACACTAGATGAGGGTTGTCCTCTGCTCGGACCCCGACACCCCCTCTCATCTTGGCTGAGAGGTCTTCTCAGCGAGGACACCCCTCTGTCTAATGCTGAAGACATCCCTGTCTTTCTCTCTCTACTCTGCTTGTTGTCTTTACGCTTACCACGACTCACACACACTCTATTCTGCTCACAATCTACCCTCTTCCACTAAAATGAAAGGTGCATGGAGCCAGCACCCGGCCCCTGTGGGAGCCCCAGAGATGTGTGACAATGAGTCGAAAGGAGACGGCTGATCCAAGGACTGGTTACCTCAGAGCACTGAGTTGGGCCTCGAGAACTGTGCATACCCGTAGCTTCTCGTGGGTGCAAATTGCTCATCAAGAACCCCTCTGCCCTCTGGAGCGAGGGCCGGGGTAGAGTCCCCCAGCCCCAGGCCTGCCACTCACCAGGTCCTGCAGAGTGAAGGCCATCAGTTTCTTCTGCACGGCTTCCACCAGGGCCATCTCAATGACTGATGAGTCATAGGCAACCTGACAGTTGGAGCAGAGCCACCGAGGCAGCACAGCCCCGTCCTGGGCAGAGGAGAGGGCCAGGTCAGCCTTCCTCAGCAGCCAGCACTTCCCCGGTGCGGAGTAGGGACTGTGCGGAGCGAGCGGGCGGGCTCGGGGGTGGGGGCTGCTGGCCCGCACCACCGTCGCTGCCACGTGCGCACCAGGACAATGCACCAGCACACAGGAAAGGTGTCCGAGCCTCCCGGCCTGGCCCCACCCACCTGAGAGAAGGAGGGCTCTCTGCACAGGTCCAGGTCCCGGCAGAAATTACAGCTGCGGCAGATGACCTCAGGGAGCACGTAGGAACGGCAGGGGTCTCGGAACTGGGCCTCCTCTGAGAACTCGCCAACGTCCACCAGGCGCAGCAGGTCCCGGTTCAGCTTGTTCACCTGATTTGTGATGTTCGTGTCCAGAGACAGAACCTGCAGAGAACAGAACGGGCGTCAGGGACGGCCTCAGGGGCCGGTCTCCATTGGGGCCGGAAAAGCCTGCAGCGGACTCTTCGGGCTGCGGCTTCTCAGCATCACACTTTCCTTCTCCTGCTGGGATTGAGGGCAGCTGCCTCAGTGTGGCCCTACGAGTAGAGGTTTTCGTTAGCTCCGGGGGACGGGGGGGCACTATGTGCTCTTCCTGTCATCCTTACTGGCTCCTTCCTTCCCAAGGACAAGCAGTCCTAAATCTATGGGACCGCAAGGCCTCATCGGCAGAGCCGGTGCTCTCAGCCCCGACGGCGGGGGCTGCCCGAGCCGGCCTGGAGCCCGCGCAGCTGGCGCTGGGGAGCCCGGCTCTTGTGGTGGTGCCTGCAGAGCCACCGGGGGGCATCTCACACTTCTGTCCCTAACAGAGAGGAGAGCACAGGACAGATCTCTCTAGAGGCCCCTCCCACCCCTAAAAGTCTACTGTCCCAGCTCAACACCAAGGGCACCACAGAACCAAAACCCTCTTAGAAGATGTTTTTGGAAGAACTATTTATGGTCAAATTCGAAGCCCACCGCCCTATCCAGTGAGACAAGTAGATAAATTTCAAGTATGTATAATGAGGAGTGGTAGCCTGGCAGTATGAAGCTGTTTGCTTAAAAACATATAGTTTATATATTTCCATTATAAGAAAAAAAACTGAATTAAAGAGAAAAAGAGTTCACTGGTGAATTTGCCAAACATTAAGCAAAAAATAATATTGTACACAGTATCTTCTAGGAAACACAAAAGGGAAAACATTCTAACTCATTTTATGAGGCTAAATGATACAAAGACAGTAGAAGAAAACAGCAGACCAACCACTAACACGTACACTCAAAAGTTCTCATCAAAATACCAGCGGACCGAACCCGCCAATATATAAAAAGAGTAATACATCATGACCAAGTGCGATTTACTCCAGGAATATAAGCAAGGCTGGGTTAATATTTAAAATCAGTGCCACATCCAGATGGCCAACAGACACATGGAAAGATGCTCAGCATCATTCATCACCAGGAAAATACAACCAAAATCACAAGGACATACCACCTCACAGCTGTCAGAATGGCTAAAATAAAACACAAGAAATAACAAATGTTGGTGAAGATGTAAAGAAGAGGAACTGTCTTACACTATTACTGGACACTATTACTGGGAATGCAAACTGATGCAGCCATTCTGGATGAA